ATAGAACTCCACATGAACTTTGTATATGGTTTTGATGAAAATCAAAACTCGAAACTTGGAACACAATAAATTAAATGCTCAAATGTGGAATTCAACAAATTTTTGCAATCCACAAAAAACCGTCAAACCTACGTACAACCGTTTTTTGGATAGCAGAATTTTGCGGTGATCCGAAATTCAGGATAATCCTCAGAACGCAGTGCATGTTAACTCGATGAACAATTGTTTTTAACAGAACAAAAGTCTGAGTTTTCAACAAACTTAACTTTAAAAAGCATTCACAAATGATAATTGGCTTGAAAAAAAAACTTTGCATTTGGCTTCGTAGTGCTGCCCAACCTCGATTTTTATTTTTTTTTTTCACGTACCACATTTTGATTGATTACATAGTTTGTTTAAGGTCATTCCCATGAAAAACCGTTCCATGCATAAAAAATTATTAAGCCAAAAAAACCTGTTTGCTAATTTGAAAAGTTCAAGCAAATGAAAAACTAAATCTGCCCAGAGTGAAACAAACAGCAGTTTTTGATAATAAAAGCTGTGAAACTAGAAAGAAAGTAGTCAATTCAACAGTTTATTGGTCGATTGTCGCATGTAAGTTGTGACATTGAAAAGTAGGACGGCTTACGGAACAAGTCAGTCTAATGAATCATCAGTTTAATTAATAAACACTTTCAAAAAATGGCAGCGTAGTCTTTCATTTTACCCTGCTTATCATTGCAATATACAAAATAAACGAAACATTACGCTGCCATTTTTTTGAAAATTTTGATATCGAACAGTTTGATCACTAATTAAATGAGTAGAATTGTTCCAAAACCAGTTACAATTTTCAATGTCTCATCTGACTCCCGACAAAACACCATCAAACTTTTAAAATCTTTTAAAATCGTAATAAGTTATATGTGAAATGAATTTTCAAAAAAGTAATTGAAAACGAATAGAAGAAATACACTGTTTCAATCGTTAAAAAAAGGCGATCAAATGGAAAATTTTTTAGACTTCTGAGCTTATCAATTTCGTGAGATCCAATTTAAAAAGATATTTGATCTCCTATAAACTTTTTGTGTAGATCTGGGATTTAAACATAGCCAATCTGGCCATGTTCTACCCTAATTTACGCCCACTAAGAAATTTTTGGCTAAATGAAGCAAAAAGAACTCCAAACTGAAACAACACAGCTAATTGGTCGTGTTCAACTCACGAATTTGCAACAACTACTATTAATATTAGTGAAAGTGTACAGTTTTTCATTATTTTTATAACCAAAATTATTCAAGGACAAATGAGGGACAGGGGAACACTTCAGGGTTTTGCCCTGTTGTTCGAGCGTTCCTGTTGTTCTGACTTTCAAAGAAAGCGACGAAATAGTTGTGCTCGGGCTGTTTTTTCTTCTCCAGGCCAATTGCGAAATTTACACTATTCTTAGTGGCGGAGTTTTTCGTACCCCCGAAAAATCGTCATTTCCTGGGTTCAAATTTAAAACGACATTTCAAACTGGATCATTTTGTATATTTATGGGGGTTTAAAATTTGATATTTAACCGATTAAGAAAAGTTAAAGGATGAGATATTTCGTGCAATTTACGCGTATAAGGTAAGTTATCCAGCTCATAAATTGTACTAACTTGAATTGAGGCGGAAATTTTGGAACTTTCAATTCATTATTAGACGCTAGTGACATCATTTTGTACTGAGAATTGCACGTGGGTACTGAACTTACTTTTTTTTTTCAATTTTCTGAAAGTTGTTTGAACCTTTTTAATTTGATGTTTTTGAAAACTACTTCAAAGAAGTTGAAGGCAGCCGGAAGTTTAAGATCTTTTCCTTGATGCCGTTTTCGGAAAATTTTGCTTATAAAGCTCAATATAGTTTTGTTATACATATTTACATGAACATGCATACATGAAAAATTATGCCCTCCACATTTTTTTAAGAAAAGGTTGAAAAAGCCATTTTTGAACACTTTTTGGAGAGGTTTGACTATCTATCAATTGCAATTTATCAGCGTGCGCTTGATCTCAAATTAGTATATACAACAAATATACATACATAAAAACATTGTCCAGCTCCAATTGCCACATAAAGTTTAAAGAAAATGCTTGATTCAAATAGAGTTGCAATGGATTTTAATGCTTCATTAAATATTAGCAAAATTATTCATTTTTAATTGATTATAATTGATATTTTTTCACTTTTATATACAATGAAATCAAAACAACTTAAATGATTTTTATCCGTGGAACTCCAGTGCGGGTATAAGCAACCCAACCGATGAGCCGCCCATTTTATTGGTAAACAATCGTTGGGTGACCTTTTAATCGCAGTTAGACGGAACTGCATTGTGGGAACACTCTTGGAGAGGAAAAGAAATAAAATAGTCCATATTTACTCAGTTTAGATCAACACAAGCAGCCATTAATTTTAAAAAACACTTATCACTGATAAGCAAACACCTGAGTACATCTTATTCCCAACATAAAACTGATCAATTAATCAATGTTTTTATCACATCTTCAAAAAGTTCACTCAATACATGACTTCATGTTGCGGAAGGCGTACTCTATTCATTATTCATGGCATTTAAATCGGATGTGTTGAGTGCTGCAAAGTTAAGTAGATTTTATGAGTGAGCTATAGGATAGGGCGGTTCAGTTTTTGAATCAAATTAATGCGTTCTCCTCAAAGTTGTTCGAGGGGTGGGGGTTAAGATGTTTTTTATATCTTTCATCCTACTTTTTACTTAAATGGCGCATTACTAGAAAGTTCGAGATATTTTTCCAATATATTTTTACCAAAAATCATTACTGAAATCAAACTAATAACTGATCAATGTTTTGCGGAATCTGTGAGTTTGTAAAATGCGGGGAAACAAATTGCCAGATAAAGTTTTTAATTATGCGCTGAAAACTACTGTTTTAGTTTCACTAAAATCTTATTTCGGAAAAAAAAAGTCATTTGCTCTGGAAGCAATGGCGTGTTCATGCTAAAAACCTATCAGTTCTACCCTAATGAAGCAAAAAGAACTCCAAACTGAAACAACACAGCTAATTGGTCGTGTTCAACTCACGAATTTGCAACAACTACTATTAATATTAGTGAAAGTGTACAGTTTTTCATTATTTTTATAACCAAAATTATTCAAGGACAAATGAGGGACAGGGGAACACTTCAGGGTTTTGCCCTGTTGTTCGAGCGTTCCTGTTGTTCTGACTTTCAAAGAAAGCGACGAAATAGTTGTGCTCGGGCTGTTTTTTCTTCTCCAGGCCAATTGCGAAATTTACACTATTCTTAGTGGCGGAGTTTTTCGTACCCCCGAAAAATCGTCATTTCCTGGGTTCAAATTTAAAACGACATTTCAAACTGGATCATTTTGTATATTTATGGGGGTTTAAAATTTGATATTTAACCGATTAAGAAAAGTTAAAGGATGAGATATTTCGTGCAATTTACGCGTATAAGGTAAGTTATCCAGCTCATAAATTGTACTAACTTGAATTGAGGCGGAAATTTTGGAACTTTCAATTCATTATTAGACGCTAGTGACATCATTTTGTACTGAGAATTGCACGTGGGTACTGAACTTACTTTTTTTTTTCAATTTTCTGAAAGTTGTTTGAACCTTTTTAATTTGATGTTTTTGAAAACTACTTCAAAGAAGTTGAAGGCAGCCGGAAGTTTAAGATCTTTTCCTTGATGCCGTTTTCGGAAAATTTTGCTTATAAAGCTCAATATAGTTTTGTTATACATATTTACATGAACATGCATACATGAAAAATTATGCCCTCCACATTTTTTAAGAAAAGGTTGAAAAAGCCATTTTTGAACACTTTTTGGAGAGGTTTGACTATCTATCAATTGCAATTTATCAGCGTGCGCTTGATCTCAAATTAGTATATACAACAAATATACATACATAAAAACATTGTCCAGCTCCAATTGCCACATAAAGTTTAAAGAAAATGCTTGATTCAAATAGAGTTGCAATGGATTTTAATGCTTCATTAAATATTAGCAAAATTATTCATTTTTAATTGATTATAATTGATATTTTTTCACTTTTATATACAATGAAATCAAAACAACTTAAATGATTTTTATCCGTGGAACTCCAGTGCGGGTATAAGCAACCCAACCGATGAGCCGCCCATTTTATTGGTAAACAATCGTTGGGTGACCTTTTAATCGCAGTTAGACGGAACTGCATTGTGGGAACACTCTTGGAGAGGAAAAGAAATAAAATAGTCCATATTTACTCAGTTTAGATCAACACAAGCAGCCATTAATTTTAAAAAACACTTATCACTGATAAGCAAACACCTGAGTACATCTTATTCCCAACATAAAACTGATCAATTAATCAATGTTTTTATCACATCTTCAAAAAGTTCACTCAATACATGACTTCATGTTGCGGAAGGCGTACTCTATTCATTATTCATGGCATTTAAATCGGATGTGTTGAGTGCTGCAAAGTTAAGTAGATTTTATGAGTGAGCTATAGGATAGGGCGGTTCAGTTTTTGAATCAAATTAATGCGTTCTCCTCAAAGTTGTTCGAGGGGTGGGGGTTAAGATGTTTTTTATATCTTTCATCCTACTTTTTACTTAAATGGCGCATTACTAGAAAGTTCGAGATATTTTTCCAATATATTTTTACCAAAAATCATTACTGAAATCAAACTAATAACTGATCAATGTTTTGCGGAATCTGTGAGTTTGTAAAATGCGGGGAAACAAATTGCCAGATAAAGTTTTTAATTATGCGCTGAAAACTACTGTTTTAGTTTCACTAAAATCTTATTTCGGAAAAAAAAAGTCATTTGCTCTGGAAGCAATGGCGTGTTCATGCTAAAAACATATGAGTATACTATGAAAACATATTTATATCTATTACTGTACGGAATTCGTGTATCTAACTTTGAAATACCGAAAAACACCACAAATATAGAAATCATTGAAGCAATCAACCATAACCAGCAACAATAAACTTTAATAAAATTAGGTGAACTGAACCAACAATTAATACAAAGAGTCAGTTTAGTACAAAAATCTAATAATTTTGTTATAAACTATTGCAAAACATCGCAATTTTATAAGTATGAGTGGCATTGAATCATATTCAACTATTTCAGTTTTTGTTATAATTTCTGCTTTTATTTTTTTGACTTTTCCAGTCAATTCTCAGAACGGCGATGAAGGTTAGAAACAAGCATTAAAATAGTTTTTTTTATCAAAAATTCTCCACATCTATTCACCAGAGCAAATAAAAAATGGATAGCCGGTTACTGCAAGTAGCACAGAATGTTCCAACCATAGTCTTATAAAAATACAGCTAAGTTTTTTCAAACTATTGTCGTGTTTTTTTTTGCGGCGTGGAGTGATAAAAGAAGCTGAACAAAAAATTAGGGATTAGTTATGACCGACAGCCAAACTTAAAGATGCAAATTGAAAAACAAATTTTGTAGAAAAATTACTAGAAAAACGAAAAAATAATCAAAAATCAATTTTCAAAAGTTTTTTCAAGTTTTTTGCAGTTTTTTGAAATTTTGAACATTTTGATTCCAAAAAAGCGGTAAAATACTCAAAGTAAATTAACGTTACTCATGTAAAAATCAGCTTTTACGTTTGATATTAAGCTACTTAAAATAAATAATTTTAGCAGTTGAAATAAGACTGCTCGATCATTTATTCGCTCGAAATAGGACAAAAAAATCAAAAATTGTAAAACTGAGACATTTTTTGAAATTTTTAAATGTCGTTCGAATCACGACTGAAAGGGCTTGAATATGATATATCACTCAACCCTGTTCGATGTTTATTTGAGGTAGCTGATTCTGGGTGGAAAACAAAAAGATGAAAAAAAAACTAAAACACATCCGAATACAAAGTTACTCCCCATTTTCAATGGTCGGAACAACAACGATAACTGGTTACTGTGCAAATAGCACAGCATGTTCCGACAATAGTTCTAAAATATGCTATTTTTTTTTCAATTTAGTGTCGTTTTTTCTGTGTGCTGGGAAAAAAATCTGAACGAAAAATTGAAATTAGTATAAATAGCTTAAAAAATCGTAAATACATGTTAAAAACTTTTCAAAATTTGTTCTAGTTTTTTTGCAGAAAGTAAAATTACTCGAGTTAAATTAAGTTTTCACGGCAAAGTTTAGCTTAAATAGGCAACTGTAAGCTTGCACGCTAACCTTATGAGCTGAAAATTGGACCAAAAATCAAAAATTTCAAACCGGTTTTTCTCGGCACTGAGAATTGTTTTAAAACATTTTTAAATGTCTAAAAGGATTTCATATGATATATCACTCGACCCATTCCGATCGGTGCCAGATTTTGCGAGGAAACTAAAACACACCCGAATACAAAGTTCTTTTACATTTTTCAAATGGTCGGAACAAAAAGAAAGTATATTTTAGAAGCTAATAACAAAAAAAATTAAACAAGTTTTGATACTGGGTTTCAAGTTTTGGTCTGATATAGGGAATCAAGGTCAAGGACAAGATCGAGGTCAATCTGAGCCCGAAGACACTACTGACTTCGAGGATGACCTTGAAGAGGACGTCGAAGCGGATGATGACAATACTAGGGGACGAATTGACCCCGATGAGCTCTCTGTTGCAGATGATCTGTTGTGGTGGTGTGACTTCGACACTCAGTGTGTGGCCAAATCAGTGCAGTTCGGGAGAGACAGACTGCACTGTTGTGACAATGACTGCAAACATGACGAGTGTACATCGCTGTTAGTGGCCACCTCCCTTTTTGTTAGGAATTTGTGCAAGAAAAAGCTGACAAAATAGTTTGATTTAAGCAAGCAACTGAAAAATTATAGGTCAACTACATTGATTTTCTGAGCACTTCGCTAAGCAAAGGAAAAATGGCGAAGTCTTATAAATGTTTTTTTTTTGGACAGTTTTTGAATGATTTGGCTTGCACTCTTTTGACGGTACCACGATAACTCGCATTAAAAAACAATTTGTAACAAGAGCCAACTTGCAAAGTTAAAGGAAAACGGCAGCTTTCAAGGCTTGAAAGCTAATTTCAAACTGCGGTGGTAACTATATTGCGAGTTGTCTGTTATCACAACCCGGGTTGACCTCCACACACCAAAAATGCTAATCATACAATTCCATAAACTAAGTTTATGAAAAATACTAGTCATACAAATTTCATGGAATTTTCGAATAACTTTTTTCTTGTTTTGACATGCTAAACAAAAAAGAAAAACTTTTTGTCAAAACAATGATAATCATACAATTTCAATATAAGGAAATTGTATGAATAGCATTTTTATGATGGCGAAAACAGAAATTTTTCCACGTAATTTTAAAAATGGCCCAAACTTTTTTTTTGTGTTTTTGTTCAACCAAAAATCTAATTTTGTACTCAAACAAACATTTTTCAAGTATAACAAAATTAAAACGTAATTTTTTGTAAGTATAACGTAGTCCTGGATACACTAATAATGGAATTTTTTTTCCTTATCGCTGAATAATTTTTTTTCAAAAACGCTAAAAACTCCTTTTTTTTGTATAGCATGTTTAGGTATGCCTTGATCAATGTCTGAAAATTTTAAAAATTCAAATTTAAAAAAAAATCGTCGTTGAAAATTTTTGCCAAATTCTGAAAGATCTTATCAGGCCGTTTTCAATGCATTAATAATGCGAGACGGTCAAACCTTTGGTTATTCTATGTTTGAGTAGTCAAGGTTTTGTCACTTGTGCTCGGTTACGAACACAATTATAAAATTTTGAGAAATTTGCAATGCAAAAAGTCAGTATTTTCGTTTATGGAAAAGTAGTAGCCATACATTTTCTATTATCAAAAATCACTAATGCAGTTTTCTGTACTTATGGAATTGCATGAAAAGGGTATGATTAGCGTTTTTCCATATATGAAAATTACATGACTAGCGTTTTTGGTCAACCCGGGAAATCAGCTTATTTTTTGGACCAACAATTTGCCATTGACTAAAACGGTTTGATTACTACAAACAGGGAGGTCAATACTGTGAGGTAGATAGAAAACAGTTTTCACAAACACGAGAGGACAGAAACAATGCAGGTTTATGTATACTTGTTAACTCATGGTTTTTAACGTGTTACTTAAGTTAGATTATCAACAGGGTAAAATACTCTTTTTCAGCCCCTAAAACGAAGACAGAACCAACGTCTAATTGATCTATCAGAATAACTTCTACTTTAACAATACATTAACAATTGTATCTCTCCGTTTATTGATTTCGACTTCAAATAAAAGAATACTATAAGGCTTTGTCAAAATCTGTAATAAATGTTGCTAATTTTAAAACTTCATTAATTGTTGTAGGTCAGCGCTGTGAAACAAGATTTCAGATTAGAAATAACATGGTTGTTATATTGATAAAATTTCTTTGAATAATTGTTTCAAAATGATTAAAACATTAGGTCGAAAGACTTTTTTCACCCTCTTGACTACTGTTATCAACGTGGAACGTCACATGCCCTCTATGACAAAAAAATACTAGCTAATAAAAATTAGTCGGAAAGTATTGCCATTTGGTCGCATTTTGTGTTTTGAATCAAGTCAAAAACTTTGTTTCTGAAACTTTTTTGATACTTTTTGTACAAAATTTAACTTTTGTAAAATATCATTATATGAATAGAATGATTCAAATCGCTCAATTTGACACATAAAACATGGTGACAATTAGGATTACTACATGGTGACCATTGCTGACAGCTGATACAAGGTGATCGTTATGATTTATTCCTAATGTTCATCCATAGATGACAACCCCCCATCATAGTAAACTGAAAGCTTACTACTCTGCGGCTCATTTTTTTGTATACTACTTTTGAATACAACAAATGCAAAATACTCTGCGGCGCATTTTTTTTTGCTCGGAGAACAATTTAGTCGACTTAAGAAAAGTCGACCCCCTGATAAAACTTTCAGATCCGCCCCCTGAGAACAGATAACACTGATTGAGAAGAGCAAATTACCTATTTGAAAAAAAATTTACGCGCAAAAGCGACTTTTTTCAACAGAATTTACCTTGCACGCAAAAACGTTCCCATATAAGTCAGTTAATCTTTTTCTTTTTTTTTCAATCCATTGTTGCGAGCTTTTTGCAACTAATTATAACAATTGTTCGTTTCAGAGTGGCGTTCCTATTTCTTTCGATCACTATTGTGGCTTTATGTGGAGGGTGTACAGTGCTGGGTTATGTGGGGGCCACCAGATGCAGAACCAACAGAGACTACTACCCAATGTAGAACGAACAAACATAACCAACAACTAACCAGAATTATTACAAAATTGACCAAAAGCATCAAACGGAAGAGTCAACGCAAACCACGAAACTATTCAGCGTGATAGAAAATTCCTCATGTCAGAAACAAGTTTTGAGCGATAGTTTATTATCCCGAAAAATTTTCAATCTATGAGACGAATGTGATAATTTAGTCAGTTAAGATAATTTTGCTTAAATTATGGGTCAAAGTTCGATTTTTCTTCCGTGATAATAAGTAGTCCCGAATATAACTGATTATACCTTTTTTTCGGAGGCAACCACTTCGCCTAAATTCTGCCAGACAAATCTTTTGGCCTTTTGGCATTTTTCGCTGATCAACCCAAAAATTTTGTAAAGCGGCTTCTAGATACACTATTTTGAGCAAGGAGAGCGCTGTAAAACGCAATTTTTTGGTAAAAATTTTCTAGAAAAGTCTTAAAATTATGACTTTCTTTCAAACAATGGCAAGAAATTTTTGCATTTTTTATAGTTCGTCAAACTAAATTTAATTTAACAATTTTATAAATTGTAGACCAAATAATTTTTTCGAGAAGCTACAGGGCAGTCGTAGCATTCAGGATCGAACTGATACAATCAGTGTTATCAGTTTGAATCAGAAATATTAATGTTATTTAAATGTATAGCATTTAGAATAAGACTTCGCATGCAGAACAACCTAGTTATTGTAAACTGGTATAAGTTCTTCTTTCCTTACATATCAAAATCATACCACCGCGCGTTCAGCCTCAAAAACGCCAAAAACAACTATGAATTTGGAACATTGGAAATTAGGATAGAGGTTTAAAAAAGAACCATTTTTGCTTTAAACAAGGGATCTCTTTAATTTTGATAAATTCATTTCTAAAAAAAACGACAAAACAATCTTTTTTGTAGAATATGAAATTCTAGGCTTACCTAAGCAGCTCTTGTCTCATTCTCATTTCGGTAATAAGGGCCGAACGCCCTTCACCCTGCTGAGGTCCCTCGGTTTGGGTATGATAATGAAAAAAAAGCTTCACGACCGCGATTATTTCCCGCTACATATAGCCATGGGGGGTCTTGTTCAGCGCGGGAAGAAAGAAGATTGATAACGAGATGACTGTTCCCGTTGCTGCTTGATTAACTAGACCTGCAACCGTGTAGATTTATGGGGTTTACTCGTGAGTAAAAAATGAATACAATCAACAAAACAAGTTGAACTAGGACGGACACACTCGAGGGTGGCTGATTCATGCATTGTTAAATTTATGGTGGGGCTGTCTTCCGTTGGAAACAAAGTTTTTGATTACAAAAGGAAACAGATAAAGCCCTGCGGCGGAATGCATAACAGTCTTTTCGGGAAAAATTACGGAGCATAGCTTTACGGTCGTTAAGCCCGGCCCCAGGAAAAGCTACAATTTTAGAATAATCGGAACATTTCATCCTAAAATAATGTCGGTTTGCACACAAAAATAAAACTCAAAATTTAAGTATGTGTAGTAGAGGTGGCAATTAGATAAGATAAGCAGATATGCAAACAATGAGTCACGCTGAGTCAGACTAAGTTTTGAGAGAACTTTTCACCCCTATGCCAGAAAGTAAAAGTTGACAAAATCGACAACCCCCCCCCCCCAACGGAACTAAGGAAGCTAATGTAATGAAATTCAGAGGAGCGTTACTAGAGATGATTTGTACCGGGCATGCGAAAAAGGGGACCCCTCAGACCCTTGGGGGCAAGTGATAACGGTCCCCGGAAGTGTAACTGGCCCTATCAGAACTCAGAAACTAGCAGCGGTATTGGGCTCAAACTTTAATATGTTGTAGGCCTAGTTGAGGGAAGTTCAATTTTGGAACCCGATACCATAGCACCCCCACTTCCAGTTTTATGCCCTAAGTAAACTAACCCACCCCTAACTTCCGGAAGTCGTTTCTCGGCTTCCAATGAACGCAATGAAAAACTGAATAAATTCCAACGGTTGAATCAGAAGCTATTAGTACTCGAAAAAAACCTTAAACCTTAAAAAGACAATTTACGTAAAATAATGAATGATCGCATAATGGTTTTATTGCGGCAATAGACATTAAATACAAACCCTGAAAAAGACTCTTTATGAGTGAAAAACCTCCGGCTTCTTCTTCCGGTGTTATTAGCCTTCTTCGGAGAAAGGTGATAATGGACCTTAGAAGTGCGATAAGTTTTGGAGTATTTATAGGGTACGGATGGATTTTATTAGATAGGACTCCCATGGGGCTCTGAGCCCAAATATCAACTTTTTGACCCCAGGTGACCCCTGAATGACCTTAAATTGATCTTTGGGCGTTTTGACTCCAAAAATGCATAGAAAACCCCGAGATTAACACCGGAAAGTGGCGTTTTCACCGGACCAACACCTTGAGATATGAACTGGTCACCTTACTAATAATCGGAGGAAACTTATCTATCGGGAACTAAAGCAGACGCTGATAGCCGTATAGCTTTTACATTGCAACCTTGGAGTAGTAGAATTAATCAAAGTGGACTGACTGAATGTTGGCTTCAGTTTAGCTGAGCAATTGATCTATTAATAGCGATTAATCTAGACTAAAGAATAAGAGTCCCGGAAGAAGTTGATAGTAAAAGGACCGCAGCATGAAAGTTTAGCCTCCTAAATAGAATGAACGGACTGGGATTTTAATTGACTTTCCGGAGATGACTTTTTGGTTTAATTTGGCCCAAATAGACGAACTACGTTCCCTTGTTAGCTAAAAGGTCGGCAAAACCGAGTACAGATAAAAATTTTAGATGCCTGAAATGAATTAGCTATTTATGTTTGGGAGGTCGGAACGTTAACGGGATAGTTAAAACAAAGTCCGTGGGAGGGTCACTGAGTAAAGATAGCATGGTTTGAAGGTTGAGTTGAACTCGAAGGCTGAAGTCACTGAGGTCGGAAATAAGTTGATTAGAATCCTATGACACTTGTTTGATTAATAAGAGAACCAAACATGGTGCGTGGCAGAGTTGACAGGGGGAGGAACGTAGTCTTAAAACATGCGCGGACGTGTGATTTAAGCGGATATCACGACTGATAGGGAATGGCGTGAAATAACTAAAATTAAAAGTAAAAAAAGATGAAAAAATGGAGGGTACCAGAAAGATTTTAAGAGTTAGAACAATTATAGCAGAAACAGTAGATAGTTTGTTTTCATCAGAGTGAGAACATTGATTCTTGAAGCTAACTAAAACATCAGTTAAAGTACCTCAAATGAATAGTGATCCGTAGAGACACTATTAATTTTAGCAAGCCAAACTGAATGTTTGCGTGAAATTACTGTGTGTTGACTAAATAGGATTCTCTAGAGTGCGAGAACAGTTAGTGTTTGTAGAGTTAGTGGAAACTAACTTGAAATCAATCATTTGTGCTAAAAAAATCGCAGACCCTTTCCTTCCGATTAGACTGATAGATGTTATCGTGGCCACTCAAAGCGTTCTTTAATTAGACGTATATTCATTTGAGTTAACTTACAATTGGAGATTATTACAATTGTATTGATGAGACAGCCCCAAGAGCAGTACACAGAAGGAGCAAGTAAGATAGAGCAGTACAGAAAAATTGCCATTAATTTATCCATTTCTGGATTGTAGCTAGTAGTGAATCTCGGTCACCCCGCTGAATTCACGGCCCAAGAGACCACTTGAGAAGCAATCCTCTAAGGCTACACTTTTAAACTAATTTTTGCGTTTCTAAGAAACAGAAAAATGAGGAACTTATACAAAGCAATATCAACAAGCAGATGAAAATCTTTGTCACATTAAGTGTGATCAGTCATATCCCGACACAGGGGCGGATTTAGAGAGGTGGGTACCCGTCTCAGGGGTTTGACCCCCTGCTGACCCAAAGAGTCCCCCTTTGTACTATTTTATTATATTCATATTTGGCCAATAGACCCTAAAATTTTTCTAAAGGGGCCTCCAGCGCCAATGAAAACTAATTTTGAAAAGGTAGCGCGCGAAAAAAAAATGCAATTTTTGGCCTGTTTTTCAAGAGGCTGCCTTCGGTGCAAACATTGTGATCGAAGTAGGGTCCGTATAGTGAATTGGGAGACCACAGAAAGTCAATTTGGTCGACCTAAAAAAGTGAAAAAAATACTTTTTTGAAAAAACCCCAGCATCCTGCATCCACCCCTGATTTGTATATGGTTTTTGGGATCTCCTTGTTCATATCCCCTTTCTGCAAAAAGGGAACATTCGTTCCTAAGTACAAAATCCGCACATGCTTAATCTTAATCGTTAATTTATTTCAACATAGGGGTGGCAATTCGGGTTCTTGTTAACTATTTCCTTCCTATTTAGATATTCAAAAATTCATCTTTTGCTGCCACAGTTTCAAAAGTTTAAAATAATTTCTTAGATAACAAATTTTATTAAAACACTTTTATTTTGTGGATAACATAAATAGCGAGTATTGCCGATATGAACGAGCAAAATTGAAAACCTAATTAATTGCTGATATTTTTGAAATGTATGTTTGAACAGAAAAGATTATCAAAAGTAATGCATAGGGGGAAATAGTTAACAAGGTGCAAAGGGGGGAAAGATAAGGAAATCCGTTTTTGATGTACAATGATTTGGATCTTATTTAAGGGGTTAGTTGACAAGATCGAATGATTTAAATTTTGACAATATTTAATTTTTGTGTTCGATTTTTTTTCTAGCTGATACCATTTTCATTTTTAAAACTTTTTTGCTGGTCGAGTTTTATGCTAGTTGATACACAATCATTTTAATTTTAAAATCAGTGTGAAAACAAACACCCGGGGCACTAGAATTATAAGTTTGAAACATCTGCAAATTAATATTGAAATTATACAGACAAAACTCCAGCAAATTGACATCTGGCCCCCTACCTTGTTTAGGGAAAGTGGGATGGAGAAGATGCTATTATGGTTCACGATGCTTTTCAGACTTTAAATTTGAGAAGTTTCGAAAATTGATGATGTTGTCAACTTTAACTGACCATGTGAATAGCTTCTCGGAAGAAGCCCTTGTTTTGTACAACTTAGAAGTTGGACGAGAAACAAGATAAGTTGAAGCCTGTGTGTATAAAAAGCGCTTTTGCTTGAACCTTTAGTGGGTTAAAACTGTTCAAATTATTTGTAAACACGGAAATTGGCCTTTCATACAATCAAAATACAGCTTTTGTGAAAAAAAAAACACAAAAAAGCCTAATGAATCAAAAATTCGGGAGTTAATCGCTCACAGCCAAAAAAATTTTTCAACGAATACTGTAAATACAGAGTGAAAGCGAAACTGCGAACCACTTGCGAAGCAAAAGTGTAGCTGTGAAGTAATTTGGTCAAAAACAGAAAATCCGCAATAAGTTTACTGTTTTTAAAACATTTTTACGTTTTTTGTTAAGAGAAACTGCAGTCACCCTATTCTCTAACCCACTTTAAATCATAAGATTTTATTTTAGCCTCAAACAATTGTGGAAGATGAGAGCAATT